TATGTATCACATAAGCTAATTAATATATGATTAATAAGTACTATAGTATAAAATAGTGTAAATAGATATTTATATATTATAGAATTAATAGCATATTATAGATATCATAAGCTCGTAATACAATATATAAGCTATATAGTATCTACAGCTTAATATATTTGGATTGTTAGAAACCCTAGATTTTAGTATGCTATAAAAAGATGAAATATGTATCTTATTCACATAGATTAACCTTTTGCTCATATTTGTAATCAAGCTTTATTAAGATAGCAACCTGAATGTAATTAAACACAGAAAACATGAACTTTGAATTTATTGAAATATTTTGCATACAGAAACTTTTTAAAAATCAAAGTGCACATTTGCAACTATCTAATTTATTAGACACTGGTATTAACCACTATCGTATTAGAAGTCTGAACAGTGATTACCAAATTAAATCACCCAGATCACCCTGGGGACAATTTCCTAAAATGCCTAGGTGAACATCATTTGAGCTTAAGTTACTACTTGCCTAATTCTCCTTAAAATGAGACCATAATTTTTTTTTTTAATTTTGAAATTTTCAGGCTGTTTGCCTGAAAATATGTTGTTTTGAAATTTTTTACTTCCTTTCTTTCAAGCTTTAGAACTCATGTCACCCTCCTCCCCCATTTTATTCATAGACTGAAAAAGTAAAAAACAAGCTTTCCTGCTTTTTTAACTCCCAATCAATTTCTCAGCTTTGAATAAACCAATCCAAATGAAGAAAATACTCTTACTGCACCTGCAGAAGAGGCTACTGATGGTAAAAACTGGTTTAGCAGTTCATCAAACTGGTTCCAGGTCCTTCGCTAGTTACTTCCTCCAGCTCAGGGGTACAACTTTCTTTAAAACATCCTCAGCGAATGTGCACTGCATGAATGGTTAACCTCTAGCCCTAAAATTTATTATGGTTGGCATGATTGATGGGTGATTAGTTGATAGCAGTATTTTCTGCTTTGGCATTTAGACGTCCACCCTGGTACTTTGTTAAGCATATTGGCTAGAAAAATAGGTGGAATTGGTGTTTGATCCATCTGCATCTTTACTGAATGCAATTTAACTTTGCTGTTGGGCATTTCTTGCTTTAATGTTTCTTGAAGTTCTTTTCATATTGCAACAGCATCCACAATAGAGCAGCACTCTTTCTGTAGCTTGTCCAAGGCTATGGAAATAGGTTTTAGCATATTCAGCACATCTTCTAGGGCTGTGCGAAGCTGTGTCACTGATTTGATTTGGCAGAATCTGAATTGAATCAGGAGACCCCCCTAATCCAGGGGCGGGCAATTATTTTGGGCGGAGGGCTGCTTACTGAGTTTTGGCAAGTCATCGAGGGCCACATGACAAGCATCCCAGGGCAGATAAATATTAATTTTCTAAATTTTTTAGGGGCCCCGCAGGCTGGATAGAATGGCCTGGCAGGCCGCATTTTGCCCACCCCTGCAACTGAATAGGAAACCTCTGATTCAATTTGGAGAGATTCTATGATTCAGACATGGGCACAGCTTTAAATGTTTTTTCTGCAGACCTCAAGGTACCAGGTGGCTCGTGAACACTGAGATGCTGGGGCAGATGGAGCATCCCACAGGAGCATGGGGGGGCCCCAGCGTGCTCAGTGGTGGACCCAGAAGTGGATGAGAAGCACTTCCAGTCCGCTTCTGGGTCCACCACAAAGCACGTGGGGACTCTCGCCCACCCCCCGGCTCAGCAACTGGTGCTTCTTGGGTCTTGCGGAGGGTACTCAGAGTCCACCTGCAGCCGATCACTGGGCCGGGGAGATGCAGGGTGGGGGCCCCCGCGCACTTGGCAGTGGATCTGGAAGTGGACCGGAAGTACTTCCGGTCCACTTCTGGGTCTGCCACCGAGCACATGCGGGGGCCCCCCACGCTCCTGCGGGACCACTCCATCCACCCCACCATCGTAGCATTCATGAGCCACCTGGTACCTTGAGGTACGTAGAAAAAACATTCAAAGTTGTGTCTATGGCCAAATCACTGATTCTCCAAGTCAGCATCGAATCTTCAGATTTGGATTTGGCTGAATTGAATCAGGACCATGATCTGAATCAACGAATCGAATCGCTATTCCCCGATTCGGGCCAAATCCAAATCTGAATCAAATATGGCCCGTTTTGAACACCACTAATATCTTCTACATTTCTCTTTAGTCCAATATTGACTACTCTAGCTGTAATACTTCCACCAATTTTGTCATGATTTTCTTCACAGATGGTTGTCAGAATAGGTCAGCTCTTAGTAAATAGCTCAAAGCAGTCAACTGCTGAATTCCATCAGACATCTTGCAGGAGAATTAGCTTGGATCCCCCAGCTCTCTTCACTGAAGCTGTAGCAAATTAGCTGTGATAGAAATATATGATGCATCCTTTAGACAAAGATTTAAGTACTCCAGCAATAAAGAAAAACGTTGAAATTTGCAAAATGAGCACTGTATCTGTAACATTGTTTCGGCTTTGCTTTCTTATCTTCTAAGCTTCTTCTCATCTTCTTGTTGATCCTTTGCATACAGTAGTATAAACCCTGTACCCCTGGCAGGGTCAAGCCCCTAACACATGAAATATCATGCTGTATTTTTAAGGCTTGACTACCTCAAAAGTTAGATGTTTCTATCCTAATTCTTACATAGAAGAAAAATCAGCCTTTTTACTAAAGGCTCATTGACTCAACATATTATTTTAATGTATACCTTAGTCTATGCTGTACTAAATGTATACCTTAGTCTATACCGTATTACATTCCAACTTCATTTTAAATGATTTATTCTTAAAAAGTAAAATTAATTGTAACTTAAAATTTTAAAAATTAAAAAAAAATTGGATTTTTTTGGATTAAAAAAGAAAATAAATTTTTATCCACCCTGCCAGGTAACAGACAATAAATTAGTTTTCCTGGAGAGAAGCCAGCCCACTCTCTAGAGCAGTTCTATTTTCAGTGGGAAAGCACTTAGGTTAACATTGCTTTATTATCAGCTTTATCCCGGAACTTTGTTTTGTGAGAGTTGGCATTACTGCATACTATGATATTGGCCATTGGAACTTGTTGAACTGGACTTCCAACAGTTTGAGCACAATTAGGAGACTCGCAATTTCCAAGTCAAATTAACTCTGACTCGCGATCTCAGCATAAAACCTTCAGATCTCGGGTTTTTTCCTTCTGGCGCATGTAAAGAGCACCCAACTGTTAAGTTTGTGGAAGGGAAGAGGTGGGGAGAGAGGGAAGGAGTAGGGCAGAGGCTGTGGTGAATGGGGCCTGGGGCAAGGGCAGGTTTTGGCACAGAGCCACAGGAGGCTTGTCCAGAGGCACAGGGGAAGGGGTGCGGCTCCCTGCCGCTGCGTGCACTGCACCCCCAGAGGAGGCATGGGGGGAACATGCCCCCCCAGATTTGTGCATGGGCAGAGGTCACATGGCTCCTAGGGCAAAGGCAGCTAGGCACAGAGCAGGCAGCCTGCCTCTGCCCCACACATAAATCCAGGAGGCACGTGCCTTCCATGCCTCCCCCCAGGGTGTGCACAGGGGCAAGGAGCCATCTACACCTCCCCTGTGCTTCTGGATGAGCTTCCTGCGGCTCTGCTGCACAACCTGCAACCCAACCCATCTGCCTCTCTACCTGCCTCTGCGCCTGTCTGTCTGCCTCTCACTCTCAAGCCACAGCCTCCACATCCCTGCTGCCCCTCAGTCCTGACCCACAGTACCCCACATCCTGCCAGTGTCCAGGGCCCTCCCCTTCTGGGCTTCAACCCCCCCCCACACACACACCCACAGCCCCCACACCTTCACAAATAGCCCCCCCCCACACACACACACTTCAAAAATAGCATCTCATGATTTACACTCGGATCTCGTGATTTTTAAGTTTGTCTCATGATTTTTGACAGGGTGGGGTTGGCAATACTGTAGTATAACAGGAAGCCTGGGGCTCCAGTTACTTTACTAGGGGGAAATAATTAATTGGTACTACCTGTAAGGCATGGGCATGGCTGTAAAGGAGGTTGGAGGCCACAAAATTAGCCCTTAAGGTGATTAGTGCCTGGGGCAGGACCAAGTCAGGGGGGCCATATTGGTGCCAGAGGACAAGACAGCAGGGTTCAGAAGGAACCCACAGACTGAGTGCAGACAAGGGCTCACTCTGCGACACAAGGGTGCCTCCCTTTTCACCAATCAACCAATTATATCAAGGCATAGTAAGCAAGGGAAAAGGAAGCAAATACAAATTTCCTCAGGATTAGTAATGGTGCCATAGTACTCGTGTAGACACCTGACCAGGAACAAAATCTGTTCCCAGTCAGCCATCTACCGGGGGGTGGGAGAATAGCTCCCTGCCCTCAGGAGCTGCTTGCTGCCGGGGCAGGCTCTGCTGCAGGAGTCCAGCAGGGGACTTACGTCTCCCTGCCCTGGCAGCAGGAAGCTCCAAGCCCCCAGCTCATGACTGGGGAGTGGGAGCTGGGAGATCCTTATCTCTCAGCCCCCACTCCACCATTATGATCAGGGAGTGGGGGACTGGGTTACCCTTATCTCCCTGCCTGAGCCCCACAATCATGGAGCCAGTGCTGGGAGCTCCCTGCTGGCAGGGGCTTCTTCCCTGCCCAGCTTTGCAAGCATGGAACTGGGGGATGTGGAGAAGAAACAGGCCAGGGAGGCCTGGCCATTGCTATGGGAACTGGGCTGCAGGCTCCCAGCTGGCAGCTAGATTCCCATCTCCCGTGGAGCCAGCAGTGAACTTCCGTTTTGTCCAATTGAGGTAAAGTACCTCAGAATACGTTACAAAAATTGTTCCAGGTTACAGCTGGGCGTCTGCACCCACCAATAGCAGGTTAAATGGACACTTGACTGGGGTGGTTTATTAAGGCAGGATCATCCCCAAGTAGACAGTTAGTCTAGATAACCATCTAAGTTCTCCTCTAGCCCTATTTTTTTTAGGATTCTATGATTCTGTGGCATAAAAGCAGAACAAAATCATATTTGGTAAATGCAAGTAATTTTATTTGAAATTGTAAATATAATGAAAAGCAAAATTTCTTGCATGAAATATATCAATGTAACATTAATAAGCAAAAGAACATGCGTCTTTCAGCTTTGCTAATATTAATATCATCTATATTCATAGAATTCATATCCAGATGGAGTCATTCTAATTGCCTTCAATTATAGTTCATTGCAAGACAAGACTTGAGCTATAATGTTTGAAGCAACACAATTATTGTGCGTTTGTTGTTACTAACTTCCTCTATAATTTTGGAATTTACTTTCTGCTTTCAAGTGAACTGTCTGCAATGAACAAATACATACACTGATTTTATTTATTTTTGAAGTACTGAATGATTTCATTCCATTAGCAAGAACAATCAACTTCACTATATTAATAATCAGTTGTTTTATTATACATTCTTTTCAGTAATTTAGCTAGAAAAAAACGTTAGGGGCCTTGCACTCAAAAGCAGTTGAAACAGACTTGTGATGAAATGTTGAGTTCACTTTCTAGGAAAAGAAAAGCGTCAAATTAGAAAGGTTGCCTACCAACATTCATTAACAGTCTAGAGAAGTATTAGAAGGCACAAAGGTTATCAGGTTCCATTAATTTCTATTTCAGTAAGTAAGTATAGACAAAATGGTTACTTATTGAGTCTCAAAAACAATTTTATTTTGTGCCGACATTCGTTCATGTCTTCAACAGCTTACTATCCAGTTGGATGGACATATATCTCTGGACGGACTGATTTTCCAATAGCACAGTTCACAGGTTAGCTTTTTCCTTTGCTGACATGCGAGATGTAGCTTGTGTGTATGTTCTAATCACATCCTTTAAAAAAAGTGTGAAATTAAGCTATAAAATAAGTCATTTAAGACAAATCCTATCAGTTTAATTTACCATCAAAATCCCTAGACAATACACCTATCTATCCCAGAATGTAGTATACCTTATCCCAGTGCACCAAATGCCCTCATGACAACTATGTGGATGAAACTAGGAAGAAACAAAAAGGAAAAGCCCTGAAAATATACACACTACACCAAAATGAACAATCCCTAACCAAAAAAATAAAATAAAAGGACAGAGACACTAGAACACCAGCAGGAAAATATTTTTCATGGGGGGCGGGGAGGATGGGAGGAGGAGAATTACTCCCTGTTTGACCTCACAGTTATGGTGCTCAGACTGAACATCAAGTACCAGTGAGTTAATAGAGATAATGACTTTACGGTTCATTATATTCTACCTGATACTTGCTAAACTCTATACTTCACAGGTAATAACAATCCTCCTGAATAATCTTGCTCTTCCATCATCAGGTTCTTACTGCATCTCTCCTGCTGCTGGCTACCTTGTAATCTCTCTTATATTGTTTTTATTTAAAGAGTTTTGTACATGCTTTTGTTTCATCTGCTATTTAGCTCTGCTGTGTCTGCATCTCTCCCTGAGGAAGGGTATTGTGATATCCGAAAACTTGCATAGGTCTATGCCACCCATGTAGCTGGTCCTATAAAAAGGTATCATCCACAAGAATTCCTGCCTCCTGAATCTTTAACATACCGGATTCCCAGCTTCAGCATTGTACTTATCCAGGAGAGCTTGAACACGGGCACCATAATCAGGATGAACATCAGTGAAGTTCTTCACCTAAAAGAGGAAGGCAAATTAAGTCAGGAATAGACTTAAATTCATTTCTCATTTTCAGATAGTCTTTGTTCTTTTCTCAAACTCTACCGGCTGCAATCAACATCCCATATGTAATAAGAAAGGTAAGCCACTGACCAAATAGCAGGAAAAAAATTTGAGGAATTTTCAATCTGCAATTAGATCACATAGGGTAACCACAAATTAAGCAAGTGTCTCCCACTGAGAGAGGGTGAGTTGGAGCCTTTTATCTCCTCTGCTTTATGTACACTAGGGAAAAAAGTTTCAATTGTTAGTTACCCATAACTGAAACACCTAAGGCAAAGTAGGGATGCAGTTTAACACTTTATTTTGACATCTTTAAAATTCTATTAGCCCTCTCCACAATTCAGGAAGCACAAGCTGCTTTGCTGCTGGAGTACAGTCTGTTAAAACTGCCAACTCACAAAGCTGGAAGTTTTCTATAACATAACTAAGAAGTTTTTACTATGTTTTGTATAATACAGAAAAAACATCCACTTATTCAACTGGATTCAAAAAACAAACGAACAACTTTCTGTTCTTTTTATTTCTACATTGATCATTACTATAACATTCAGGCTAACACCATTATATCTACTTACAGCTTTCTTCTGAATGAAAAGCTGAGCATCTTTAAGAAGACCAGCAATGTTCTCACAGAGCCTTTGGCGTTCATCTTCTTTCAGCACTTTGGTAAAGAACACTCGCACCTTATGAAGAAAGACAGCAGCTTATACGCAAGGAAATGCCAGTATTTAATCTAATGTATAAACAGCTCCCCAGCAAATGCTGTTAAATTGCTAGAGCTCAGTCTTGCTATAATTACAAGATAGCAGAAAATACTGATCAGTCGTTCTTTCAGCACAATCAACCACTTCCTCCCACAGTACAAAACTCCTAAAGCTTTTATATGTGACAAGGGATAAAGCACAAGAATGATCTGCTACTGGTCAAAATCAGATCCTTGCCATCAACTTTAAAGATGCAGCCACTCTTCTTCCTAGCACAGTGGCACTCAAATCTTTTGGCCCCGTGAGCCAAATGAGTGGCCTGGGACCAGATGCATGCTAAAATCAGACAGTGTGCTGGGATGAGGCCCTGCACTACCTCTTCATACTAGGATACAAAACCCCAAAAACTCAGATTGGGTCCTGTGCCACCTTGCACACCTAATCTACCACACAGAGCCAAGCTCTCTGGCCCACTGGACTCCCCATAGGTCCAGAGTGGTACCACCCCACTGCCCTGTGGGCCAGATGACAATGCTGTGAGGCTGCAGGCTAGGGGTGACCACCTCTGCCTATCCTAACATCATGAACATTATTCTTCTGGGCCAGCTGTCAGAAGTTAAAATGTAAAATTCTATGTACTTTTCCTAAGCATTGATATCTAACTTCTACAATTTCTAATATTAACATTTGATTCTTTCACAATCAAAACATATATCTGACTGCTAGTCTATTTGTCTTCTCAAGCTAGTATTTCTTCTAAAAAACAACAACAGATAACCTGGCCTGAGTAAGACCAATTGACAATACTATTCATTTCTAATCTAAGATAATCAATTTAGCATTTCTAATGTTCAATGCAGTTTGTCTGCTTACCCAATCAGTGATACAAGGAAGCAATCACTAATTAAATTGAGCTTTATTCCAGATCTGTATATTAGTGGTCAGAGTTTGGACCTAAAAAATTATCATCTCTATTGCTAAGCGCAATGAAAACTTTCTTAAAAGTTCCAGTGAAATAACATTATACTAAGTAAAATGCAGCAATAAGGAGATAAATGTTATTCAAATAGCTGGAGGAAAGTGAGGACATGGTAAAATATGTTTAAAAGTAAAACTGTGTCCATTTGGTAATGCAACAAGACTAGATGTGCACTGATTATATTGATTGCATACTGGACTGGTACCAATAAAAGAAAAATTAATATTATTAGCTATTGGTTTTTGGCTGGTATAGTCAACCAATGTCCCTGAAAAATGCCACATGCATACACATAACCATATGCATGCATGTGGCCAGGAATGCAGCCAGGCAGCTTGGAGAGCAGCATCCTGCCATTAAGTCTGAGGGTGGGGGGGAA